GCTCTCTCTATACCTTACAGTTTCCAATATCCCATTGGTGAAAATCGATTTTGGGACACACTATAGAGTGTCATACATCAGAAAAAAGAGAATTTTATGTAGATTTCAAATCTGTAAAAATCCACTATGGCACCGATAAGAAAATCGATTGTTATAGGTAGCATCTCAAAGACTCAACACTCTTGAAAAAAACTAATAACGCTACTAAAACATTTATGCAAAACTGGCGTTATAAGATCAAAGTCTTGTCTTCGTACAATTAATCGTCTTTGATATATTTAATTTACAACTATAATAATGGTCGGCCGTAGTTTGTGACTTCTCAATGTACAATAATAACTACTTGTTCTTATAACTTCTTCCGATTTAAAGTATCCCCTAATATAACGGTTTTCAGACCCACCAGAAGAACTCATTGTGTCTCCAAGAGTTGTAAATGTCGTTGAAAAACAGTCTCCGAGTCCGGTTAAGTGTCACGGAAAGGGTCATCCAGCTCTTAGTTACCAATGGAAGAAGAGCACTTCGCCTGATAAACCTATAATTTCATCTAATGAAGAATTAGTATTAGGTTCGATGAACCGGATGGATACCGGCATATACGTCTGTGAAGCCAGTAATAAACATGGAACCCAAACGGCGAATGTATATTTTAACGTACAATGTAAGTTTTAATTTAAATGATTTTTTTATATTTACAGCATATAAAATAAGCACAAAGGACTAACATAATCACCAAAGAATTATTTACTAGTTAGTCACCAAAGAATTATTTACTAGTGCCCAAAATATCTTTAGTTTACATACAAAATGAAGTGAATATTCGATAATTATGTATTCAAAAGTTACTACTACTCCTATTACAACTACTGCTATCGCTACCACACTACCACACCGTAATGAAAAATATATTCTTCCAGATGCTCCCGAATGCCGCATAACCCACGCTGAAAAGGATTCAAATCCTGCACTATTGTGTACCGTGGACGCTAATCCTCAAGAAGTAACATTCATATGGAGAGTTAGGGAGGCCAATGAAACTTTCGCAGTGTCCTCTAACACTTATCAAGACGGCCTAAAGAGTTACTTGCTACTCGATTCCAGCATAGATCTGTCGAGAACATATTTCTGCATTGCAAATAATTCGGTAGGATTTAGCTCGCCTTGTGAAAAAGGTGTTGTTGGTAAGTGTTTCTTTTATGTTACTTTGTTATATTATTTACATTCCTAAATGATGTTGTTTAGCACACCAGGAGCAAAGTAGTCAATTTGGAGATCCAGGTAAATTGTAAGGCATGTTGCACGTTATCATGGGTACACTTTTCTCCTGGTTCACGCACAATAAATATATATTTTCCACTGATTAAGAGTTGTTGTATATTAGATATGTATATACATACTCTAGGCATAGCAAAACAAATTTATTTTGACAACTTGTAAAAACAATAAAGGAAAGTCACAGATAGGGAACTGGATAGAATTTTTAAGGTATATTTAGACCAACGTGCTACAGCGAGACCTAAAACGGGAATAAAATCGACATGGGATGAAAGTACACTGCGGCATATAGTCCATTCACACCCAAGTGACGACGTACCGCCAGGCGATGACGTCACATTTTTTATTTTTTGCAACTGGAGCATCAAAGCGTCACATTCTTCATGTATTTCGCAGTCTTGATTAATATCATTAACCCACTATCTTCTTTGCAAAATATATATTTTTCTCCCGATCCCCTAAGAAAGCGGCCATATTCATTTAATGTAGCAGGTACGAAACGTAAGGATTTCACATATTATTATGTGTGCGTTATTTCCAAACACACACGTTTGTATAAAAATACCGAAAGTGTAGAGATATAAACATGCGAAAAGCGGAGCGCTATGGAAGCATCTGGCAAGTAGCTCGCGATTGTCAGCACCGTAGAGGCATTTGTCAAGATAAATCTCAATATACTTTATTGACAATAATTACACTACACTACTAATATGTTTATAATTTTAGTAATTGCTTTTTTGGTCGTGGAAAAAATATTGTACGCAACTTGCTAAATTGTCTTATACACTCGTCAAACTCCCCGTACTGTAGAAACCGAATTGTCCATACCCTGTCCGAACTAACCGCAGTCAGTCCAATTCGGTCCAGAATAATTCAGTCGAATTAATGTAATAATTGATTTCAATCCAATCACATCTGATCAAATCCAATCCTATTGGACTCGAGCCGAATCATCAAAATAATGAATGCATTCATCACTTTCCAACGCCTAACCTAAATTGATCATCCTGTATTCTGCTAATCTATTTCATAAATGTTTGTAAAAAAACTGTTTTCTTTACAGGTAACTTGCCTTGGTGGAAACAACTAAAACAGGAAAAATTAATCATTATCGTTGCATCAATAATAGCAATTATTATTGTGGTAATAATAATTTGTATTATTATTATTATGTTGTGCAGAAGAAAACGAGCAGATACAAAATGTGAGTCGCTTTCAATGTTTGGTGTTGTAGCTAATTTTCCTCCTTGTCGAAATCCAAATAGATACAGTATTTTTTAAGATTTTTTATTTTTCTTTGTAATAAGTCAGTTTATGTGTGGACTAACAGATTTGTTTTATTTTTGTTTCTGCTAACAACAGATAATAATCCTTTGGAGATGGAAGAGCGCGAAAAGTAAGTTTATGATACAATTTGTTGTAAGTAAAATATTGTAATATATGTGTAAATAAAAGTGTGTATTCTAACTCTGGTGGAGGTCTCTCTTATTCTTTTTGGTGGGTGGTAAACTAAAAATAACCTCTTGGTTTCTATTCTGTGCAATAAAATTTGGGATAAGTTAATTAAAATTTTGTTTATCATATTCTTTTTTATTTTGTTTTTTTTTTTCACAAGTTCAAGGCAATCGCTGAAACTTATTTACTTAAGGTAAGAATGTATTGCCTGAAATGATCGATGTTTAGTTGACTTATTTTTACTAACCTTTTGATTTACTATTTTATTTTTGTACATATAAGTAAGCACCTTTTTAGTTCTCCTATAATTATCGCAAATAAATATTGCACAATATGCTAGAAGTAGTTCTGCAGTTAGAAGTTAAGTTGAATCCTAAAAACATATTATAAAAGAGAAAGTTAATAATAATAATAATAATATTTGGTAATGCCAAAATTCCCGTTTTAATATTTGCTGAAACGATTCTTATTGGCATTAAAGTCTTGAATATATTCAGTATAAAATCAATTCAATTCACCTCAGATTGATTAAAATCAACTATGACAGTTTAATATCGTCAAAATGTCTAAGTTTGTTTTTGCGATCCGTCTGAATAGTGTAAAGACCATACCCAACGCCCAAGGATCCCTGTAAAAATTTGCGCTGTATAAATATCGAGCACTTGCAACTTTCTTCCATAGTTTTTAAATGTAATAACGGAACAGCATGTCATAAATTTAATCGCAAATTTTAGGCAATAAATAATGGCGATAGACCTTTGAAAATAGAAAAAAATCATTTGCTGTATGTATATCTCGAGTCTTTCTAGATACCTATATTCTTTAAATTTGTTAGAATTAAATAACATTAGCTCGATATTTCAACATATTATGACTAATTCTCTCAAATTGGAAGCTTAGAATTGGCATTCACGTGATCCATTCAGTCACCTTATTTTTTAATTACTTAAAATGTTAATTATTTGTTTAAAGTATTGTTACTCCTACTTTCCCTTTATGCTCTAATTTTCAAGAATTTAATTTTTTTCGGTTTATGTAGAAAAAATTTCGAATTTGAGGATCAAAGCTTGCTCATTTCGGACTAATTAAATACTGAATTTTAAGAACATCTAACCTTATCACAATATTGCGTAGTACTGTCAAAATGTGTACAAAATGTCAATTTACAACTTTATTTAAACATTTGGACAACATATTTTATTGACTTTATTTAACTGACATTTGATTTATAATTTTCCAGGACTAATTTTTTTGGTAGTCAAAAATAAAAAATTTGAGGTTCCCTAAATTTCTTTCCAGTAGGTCTATTTTGTTCGTTCTTTTCCTCGACTTCTAGAACATGTATAACAATTTTGTAACCTTTATATCAAAAACTGCGACTGCTAGCCCGATATACAGGGTGTTTTATATGGATTAAGCCAGACTAAAATGGTGAGGTGTCCCCACCGACAGATGTTAAAACATGCAAAAGGAAAAACAAAAAATTACGTAGGTATGTGAGGGTGAGGGACCTCCATAGGAGCGCCGTCTATGAGACACAATTATCATCCTAAAGATGCACTATTTACTACACCCTAAAATGAAATACTATTATAATAGCTTTTTAATGAAGAATTTTTACATGTATTTTGGTCATATCGCCATTATTTAATCTGCTATTAAATTTTTGACATATATTTCGTGAAAAAAACTTTCAATGTTTTATATTAAAAATGTCAAGAAGAATGAAAATTTTATAACAAATTCTTTATCGATTATCTATTTGTATATATTTTTGATTATGAATATAAAAAGTAAAAAAACAGGATTTATTTTAAATCATATTTTTTTTAACATTCTAAATGAAATAGGAACATTTAATATGTGTTTTTATTATTCAACTTAATGGATACCACCCAAAAATCTTTTTTTGTCATTAAACCAATCTTACAGACACGTTCACTATATTCAGTACTTTTGTCAAATATACCGGGTGGCAATAAATTGTATGCACCTCAGTAAACTATTTCAAAGTTAAATAACACATAAAAGTATAAAATTCATGTTTTGACAAATACCTGATCTAAGCGCAATTTCGGTTTTTTTAATATCACCTTGCATATATTTTTATATACTGTGGTAGAGGTAAACATGATTTTTCCAACGACTTTTTCAAATTTAAATTTCATTCCTAATGATTAAAAAATGCGATCTGCTATTTTTACCGCTTGTGGATACCTTTTCTTATTGCTCAGACTTTGAACTTTGAATGCCAATGCTCAGAAAAATCCTAGCTCCTCGACCGGGGATCGAACCCGGAACTCCAGGACGAGAGGCAAGTTTCCTTACCGCTCGACCACGAGGCCACACATAACATTTTTTGGAGCTTAGATCAGAAATGACAATATAATAATCGATATGTACTTCAAAATGTGAATTTTTAATTAATTTAAGCAAATTTTAACTTGGAAGATATAAATCGTATTTAAATCCATGATTTATTTTACTAAAAATCAACCCAAAATTTTGTTCTTAATAAAGTAGGGGGCTAAACGAACCAATAATGTAGCAAACTATACCAGGAGTTCAATCTCTACTTACAGCGTAATTTGTCATTAAACTTTTACACAAGTAGTAGTTTCAGACTCTCTAAACTATAAACCGAGAGCCTTTTTCTCACACTAATTTATAGATTTCAGAAGGTTACTTAGATGTTTTGGATGACGATTACCAATTCTGTCGAATTTATCAAAACCAGTTAAAGCAGTTAATTTCTTTTTTTTTATTTGCTAGTTACACCAAAAGACATTATTAGACTTAGAGAATTTGAATGTCTTGACGTAATTAACAAAGCGCACTGCAAAACAGAAGCAGACAGTACAGTTTGTCTTACATTTTGCAGTGTTTTTTCTTTTATTTTATTATTGTGCACCCTTATTTTGTAAGTGATTCAGTGCCCTCCTACCAACTTTCAGGTGAGCTTTTAGACTCATTTTTAAGTGATATTACATTCTTACGGCGCTCCATTCGTCCCTCGAGCACCACACCACATTCGTGATAGTTTCTAAAAATTTCAATAAAACTTTGTGCTTTCTAGGAGTTCAGACCACATCCGGAGGCTTTGTCTAATCTATATCTACTGTTCTCATAAGCACCTATCCCTGACTAGTCTGAAAGCCACGCTATAGCCGGTTTTCCGAATTTCATGGCAGTTTTGAATTCTCCTCTGTGACCCTTCAAAGTTTCAAGGATGTCCCGCCTCCCGTCGAACTGCCCGGCATTTAGTCATTCACATGTCATTATAGTCATTAGACCCATTACCAGCCGCTCTACGTGCCCTAGACGCCGTTGATACAAACGTGTCTCTCTCCTCCGATTTCATTACAGTTTCTAATTTTTCAAATCTCACTGCCACACATTTCTAGCCACTCTGCGCTCTCCAATACATTATGCCATTCACACCAAACGTCCTGCATGACTTTTATCAGTTTGCCAGCCCAATTTAAATTATTTTATGATATTTTCCAAATTATCTCATTTTAAACAACGAGTAACGCTCGATATTATTCAACAACGCCATTTTTTCTTCGTGTCACCCGCGTCTTCTCTAACCAATCAACGTTTGGTGTTTTCTCGACGACACATAATCGTCACGGCAGATTTACTAGTAATCGGACTGAATTTACGTATGACTGTCACGCCCCACACTATATATAACAACACACAAAACATCACTCTTTCTAAAGATGCGAACTTCTTCGCCATTTTCTACGTTTCCTAGCGCACTAAACTACACAGAAAATATCAAATTAATAAAAAATGTCTCGCCATACACACAACATATTGCTGGCTAACAAGTTAACAAATTAAGAACTGCATAGAACAAGGATGTAAACTAAATAAAAGATCAATAAGCAGGTAGTCGCCTAAGGACGCAAACGGTATATTCGCCCCTTGACACTACGTACATACATAATATAATTCTCAGCCGCTCATCGGTGCTAGTATTACTCCGGCGGTCGGTGACCGCCCATCGATGCTGATTTTACAAACATTACAGTTTAATTTATTACTATTGTATCACGCTCTTTTCGGAATGTTTAGCATTAGGTTTAAAAATCCATCTCTGAGAATCACTAATTTATTAATTATTTTACTATCCCTATTATTTTTATTTTTAAACCACCCTTTATCATTTGGTTTAATTTTACTCATTACTCATTAGAACAACACGTCCTAATTGTTAAACATTATTATCAAAATAGTGAGTTTGATTGCCACGTTTGGTAAAGTGCGTCCAATTTTCAGTCGAAATGTTCCTCATTCATCTGCTGTAAAAATAATAATAGAAAAAATTTGAAAGTACTGGTTCGGTTGGTGATGTGAAACACACGATACGAGCTCGTTGAGGTCGTTCAGAACAAAACATCACACAGCAGTTCGCAAGAGCGCGGCCGAGAGTCCAAGAACGACGATTCGTCATCATGCACAAGAATTTGACGTTACAACAGCCACTCTTCAGCGTATCCTCACTAAAAATTTGCATCCCCATGCCTACAAAGTCCAATTGACTCAACAACTTCTGCCAACAGAGCATGCACAGCGAAGAGAGTTCACCAATTGGATTCTTGAACAACAAGAAGTGAATGCAGGACAAAATCATGTTCAATGATGTGGCCCATTTTCACCTCGATGGCATCGCTAATAGGCAAAACTGCCGTATTTGGGGCTCAGAAAATCCACGAATGATTCATGAGAAAGCAATACATCCAAAACGTGTCACTGTTTGGTGTACATTTTCTTCGAAGACGAGGGAAGTAATGCAGTAACGGTGAATGACGAACGTTATCGAGCTATGATAACCCAGGTTTTTGTGCCTCGGAAGATATTGCTGTCGACGACATGTGGTTTCCAGCAAGACGGTGACACTTGCCGCCCGTGAAACATTGACGGTATTGCACGAGTCTCTTCCTGGTCGTTATCTCTCGGTTTGGTGACCAGAATTGGCCGCCACGCTCTTGCGATTTAACACCTTTAGACTTTTGGCTGTGGGGTTATCTGAAGTCACAGATTTATGCCAACAAGCCCGCGACCACCGAAGTATTGAAGGCCAAAATTAGAAGCTATATCAACGAAATACCGCCAAGTGTATGCAACACCGTTATTCAAAATTTCCCCAAAAGAGTACGCATGTGCGAGCAAAGCCGTGGCGGCCATTTACCAGATGTGTTATTCTAAACATAACTCCCAAATGTGTACATTTTAACTCAATACATATTTCAATAATTTGTTACAGAGAACCATGTTTTATTGAACCTTGAAATATTACGCTCTTATTGAAACACCCATGAAGTGAATTTGTTTTTTAATGTTTCTGATAAAAAACATATTTCCTTCATAAAAACACACCACATAAATTAGACAAACGCCAAACCAAAGCCGGGGTAGGGGTTACACAATTGAAAAAACGAAAACACAACCAATTCCTTCGACTCTGTCAGAATCGAAACCGGGATTTGACCCTGGGGGTCGAGAGTAAGTAAACCAGCTAGTTTGTTACTTAACGCTCTGGCCCACTAAGCTATCGAGCTCGGTATATTTCCTTTATATACTCGTATATAAAATATTAATAATAATTGTTAAGCTTCAGATAATACTGACATAGTTTTCTACGAAACACCATAATACTACACTCGCTGCGCGTTTCGCCAACCAAGTTGGCATCATCTAGATATGATTAAAACTGTCAGATGGATATGATTAAAACTCAGTTTTAATAATCTCCATATGATGCCAACTTGGTTGGCGAAACGCGCGTCGAATGCAGTACGTGGTGTTTAGGTGTTTCCTGGAAAACTAACGTCAGTGTTATCTTCACACCAAATGTTCCAACTCACCCCAAGCTTAAGATATCTAATTATTATGATTAGGCACACTAATTGTTGGATAGGTTTAATAAATTAAAATACATTGACGTATCATTTATGCGTTACTTTAGAAATACGATGTATATTTGTGAAAATACAAACATCTTTAGAACAAAAAATGTTACGCTTCTTCTTTTTTAGTCTCATGTATCTTCATTGCATTTCTGGTTTACTGGTAATGTACCAAAATAACAAACTGAGAATTTTTTAGGCGGCAAATTCCTCAAAATAATAGCAACTCCAACCTGAATAATAAGGTTTTTAATAATGTCATTTGTACAAGACACACATGTTCCAAAATGTATATTGGATCGAAAGTATTCAAGAGTTAACAAAAACCAACACTAGCATATCGATTAGCCTCCCTAATTGTAAATTTTGGGTTAATTTTTTTGTAATAAATCTGCATTTAAATTATAAGCGCTTAAATAGACCCTAATTTAATCTTTCAAGTCAGGTAATTTCAGCCAATTTTGTTTAATTTGATACCCTCACATTTTTGTTCCATCTAATTCCAACAATATTAATTAAATCTAAACAGGGGCTTTTAATCTGTCATAACAACCGAATAACTGACGGCGGCATTGCTGGTGTGTGGATGTCTTGTGATTTGATGGTATTTGTTTTCTAATTTAATTAACATATTACTACCCTTCTCAGGTTTCTGTGCACACAAAGTCCTGATGTACTTGGCTTGCCTTTAGTGCCCTGCGGCAGGGTCACTTATCTAGGAAACCAAGGTACTACTACTATCTACTTTAACTATTTACTAACTTTATGTATTAATAAACTTTAGTGCATGCTTAATAATGGGTTATATGTACTACGTATACCTACAATGTTTAAGTCCAAGGATTTTTGGGTGGTCGCAAGGTATAAAATAAATGCATGTATATTTTATTTTCAAGGATTTACCACTATGTCGTCCTTCATGTATTCAGCGCCAGGTCGTTTATTATTTTTATTTACAGATTGAATTTTCTATCAGTGTCAAGGTATTGAAAGAGAAACTCTTAAGAAAATCACTGGTCCGTGGTAAAAGCCTACATAAAATGTCAACAACCTTATAATAGATCAAAAGAGAGTCCTTCTTTCATTCTTAAGGGGTTTTGATTTTCTTATATCATGTGTAAAGACATATAGTATCTTTTGTTTGCAAAAAATATCAAAATTGGGTTAATCGAGATTTTATTGTAAATCCTGACATGTTACTACTAATAGAGGTTATTTAATCAATTACTAACTGTATTGATGCGGGCCTGTTTTCAATTTTAATACAATTTAAAAATTAGTGGTTTATATTGCTGTCACTGAATACCCTCATTTTCAACATTAAAGTATGCACCACAAACATTTTACCAAGGTAATTTCATATCATGAATACCTTACAAAGAGATGCGAGAATTTTTTTTAGGTACACTAAAATCTTTCAAAATAAA